TCTTTCCCTTCCTCCCTCCCTCCTTCCCTTTTTCTCCTCAAGCACATTCACATAATTAAAAAAATGAGCAAATGTTTTATTGAAATTGTTTCCAAAGTCCCCCTTTTTCATATATGGACTTCAGTTCCTTATGCATTATCATCACACAAATTTTTTCCATGGTGTCTCAGAAAATTACTATATTGCTACAAATGTTAACAAATTTTTTTAAAAAATACATTTTAAATAATCATTATGAGCAATTATCACAATTAACATTAATTGAAAATTATTTATGTGTCAAGTAGTTAGTTGTGTTTTAACAGCTGTGAGTAATCAATTTTTATTTTAATTCACCCAAATGAAATACTCCTGAGACCCTTAAACTGTTCTGGCAACAGGCTACACTACTAGGGAAACATAATACCTTTCATTAGACCCAATGATAGAGTAAGAAAAAACAGATAAGCTTTCAAACACAAAAATGTATTTTACTTTATACCACAAGACCACCACCACAGATTCAACACTGCTAATGCTAATGTCATTGACATATTCTTTTTCTGACCCACAGATTTACTCCTGAGCAGTAAGGATATACACTACACACCTCACACAGATTTGTAAATAGTGTTTCACCAAGAAACTGAGAACTCTGAGGCAACTCCAGCCTCATAATTACACATATTTCATGTACCTATCTCAGTGTGGGGCAGTATGGTTCTGAAATGCTTTTCTCTACTGTTTTTTGTTTTGTTTTTCAAATCTTCAAACACACTCTATGAAAATTTTACAAGCACTTCATAGCTGCTGTTTAGGTTAGAACAAAGGAGAAGCATCTGCAACCCTTCCATATCCCTTCACAAGATTATGGCCATGTTATTGAGGTTATTGGGAAGGTTTCCTGAGTTTCCCTCCAGCTGCCATTTCCTTTTCAACCCACTCTTGCCATGCTAGCCCATAAGGGGGTCAGCTATCACGGAGACAAAGGAGGAGGTGATGCATTCTGCCAGGCCCTACTGCCTTGCTTGTGTGCCATGTCCTTTAAAAGATTCCAATTCATTTTTCTGAATTCCACTGCTTTCCTGCTAGAGTTTAAGCAACCACAGAGTAACTCATTACTACTGCACCTTGTTAAACTTTGGGTTTGAGAGCCACAGAAAATTGAGAAAGTAGGGACAGAAAAAAAACTAGGCAGAAACTGCCATTTCTTTTATTTATTTATTCAATTCCTAAAGACCTGTGCTCCCAAAAAGATAACTCTGTTTAAATCATGCCAGTCAACTCAGAGAAGGTGCTATCTCAGAGTCACAGGCTTTTTAATCATAGGCTTTTATCTATATCTTTTTTTATACTAAGTGGTGGAGTCCTACAGTTCATTATTAATCAGCATTTACAAAATTCCATGCTTAGTTGGCATTTAGAGTGTAGTGAAAATGCATGCATCAGAAGAGCTAATTTTAGCTAATAAGTAATTAAAATGAAGAGACCTAGAGGTATTAAAAGGATGCTGACCTTGAGTCCCATTATGTTAGCAAAGAGCGGGCAAATAAGCTAGGCTGAAGTGTGACATAATGAGAATATATTCAATAGTTTCGGGGGAATGTATCACTGTACTTGTGTAGAGTTAATTAAAAACATAGGCACAGGTTAGTGATGGGGTTATCCTTTCTATGCAGTTTTTCCAATTCTGCATTTAGCTGCATATGAAATGTATTTACTATTTCATGGATTTTTGGGATTTTGGGATTTTTCATGTGTTTTATAACAGAGAGTTAAGTAAGAGAAATCAATCCAGATCTACTGAAAGAAAGAGTTTTTTGGACCAAATTCTAAGGCCTGAATACAGCCCTTATTGTGCTGAATATTGACTTCAGTGGAGATGTTGCTGTGAGCCTTAGCAAAATTAGATTTTTCCCTGTATATATATTTCAACTACATTAATGTAAATTACTTTTTGGGGTGTTTTTTTTACCAGGTAGGTTGATTTTAGTTTTGATTGCACAGAGACAAAGCTTTGTACTGAAACAAAGCAAATGTTATGCATTGTTTCAGGATTAGACTTACTGCACACACATATGATCAGATTTCAAGTTTAAAAAATAAACTATAAAAATAAATATAATTTTAAGCAATTGCCTATTGTTCTAACACTTCAGAAATTTGATGCTCAGATGTACTGAATTTTATCCCAGGGTATGTTTATAAATGTGAAACTACTAGCACTCAGTTAAACAGCAATGACTGATTTTCAGTGACTCTACTGTAAAGCTGCTCTCAAACTGACTCATCCTTGCCAAATTCCTCTGTTGCTTCCCCATAGCCTAGTTTTCCTCTGTATTTTCAATTTTCAGCAAAATTTTTGTTAATCACATCCTCTGCTCGAAACAAATGCTCAAGGGCAAATCAAAAAGATTTGTTGCTGCTAAACAACCCTCATAGTCACCAGAAAAGAAGAGACTTCTAAGATGCCTGAGTCACTCAAAATGGTTAAGCTGCTGCTTTTTGTGCTGACTAGTAAGAATACCAAGCTGTACAGAACACCTTATACCACCCTCAATTACTGCAATTTTCCTATGAACTTTTGCTGTTTCAAGTACTGTGCCATATAATCCCTTGGATACATTTTGCAAACTTCATCTTAAAATACGATAGCTTTCTTCGTTCTACAGACTGTTGCTGATCCAGGCTGATCTAGTGATTCAATTTTCCAGCATATTTGTCTCCTGCTTATATCCAGTTATTCCTATCTGTCAGCCTGAATACTCTTGAAATATCCTTCTCTGGGTTTTATTTTCCCAAGGTTTACCCTGGAAAATATTCCCTGTCAGCTTCATTTCACAAGGTTCATTTCTCTGAAACACTCCTGTAGTCTTCCTCCAAGGCATTCCTCCTGTCCATTTATTTTATGGTATTTTGGGGTTCGACAGATTCTATCCTATGTCAAAACCTCTAGGAAGCAAGATTTCTCCACCATTAAGTGCTTTTCTAGTTTTTAATGATCTCACCACAGTCTCTTCTAGAAAACACTGTTTCTAATAAACTGCTACCCAAGCACAGTTTTTCAGGTTATTGCAGTCCTAATCACCTTTCACCTAAAAATTTGGCTGCACATTTTTAAAATGCATGTCGGTTGAACTGTAGTGACCTGAGAATAAGTATTATGCAACTTGTCATTTAAAAGTCACTTCACCAAAAGCATCACAGCTGATGATCTGAGAATCTTACAGCTGTTTTGCAGACTGGTACACTGGTGAAGCCTGATGGGCACAGCCCACACCAGCATGCAAATATGACATGAGTAACTATGCTTATGGTACCAAGCTGGTTATGTTGACAACTTTCTTCTAAGCAGGAAGCATTCCAAGTTACTTCTGTTCCTGCTTTGATGTGCTATGCCCACAGCATACCTTGGTTACATGTGTGTTGCATTTTCAGGTCAAAATTTTTCAGATCAAAATCTCTACATATTTCTTTTTAACTAAAAATGAATATTTTTAAGCAGGATGGGAAAATCCATTTTGTATGATTACTGCATTTGATGGCAATTATTCAAGCAAAACAGTACTGTAAAAATAACTCCTAATAATCTGAGTTCAAAATACTTCACAATATGCCCATTATTGTCCAGAGGAGTATTTTATAAAGATTTCAGAATGTCTTCAACCAAGGTGATTCCATAAATAATGCTTGCACAGTGGTTTCTAAAGTGTCTTGTGTCTCCTTTGTGACGTAAACTGGTTGTTATGGAGATGGTAAAATATCAACCATTGTTTGTGAGACTGTGCAAGATCAATTTTTAATACATTACAACAGCTCCTTTTCTCTGTTCAGTCATAATCAGCCTTCCTTAGAAACAAAAACAGATGTATAAAAAGTACAAAATGTTCTAAAACAAATGCTTGCATGATACTTTTAACTGTTTGACATACAGATATAGATACACCTGTGTGCATCTGTAACAGATGCAAATTCCATCCCAAATTCCCCGAAATTCAAATAAGTCTACTGGCCTTCAACAGAAATCAGGCTACTCCTGTTATTAAGGTTTAACAACTTACAAATAAATAGACCACTCCTTTTCATTCTCAAGTTTTTACATTTCATTATTATATTTTTGTTTCTTTTTTTTATTTCTTAAAGTGGGGAGGGCAAAGATTAGTATCTTTCACCCCAAATTTAAGGGAAGTACCTAAGGGACTTCTGTTCAATAATGTGCCAAAACTTGCTAGAGCTTTGTGAAATAGAAGGAAAAGGGGTATGTCTGGGGACTAGTATGCAAAAAAATTGGTCTAAGACACTTGGCTAGGCTGCCTGTAGTTTATTTTTCTCCATTTTTTATCTATGTCAGTCACGTGTCTAAGTGTGCAGTGTGTGTCCCCACTCTATGATTAAGGGTAAAGAACACACAGCTGAGGAAAAGTTTTGCAGAGTCCCATAGCAAGACAAGAATGTGGGAATCTCTCCTACCACTTTGTAAGACACATAGATAAGCACACCAAAACATATAGTGTCTGACTGGAAATTCATACAGTTTTCAGGGACATCCCCAGTTATTTGCAGATTATCTGCACTTTTATGAAAATAATGAACATTAGAAATCCATTTTGTATATTCTAATAGCACATTAATTTTACTGACAGGGGTCTAAATGTAAAGTAGTAACACAGCAATAATGAAGGGAAGAAAATACAGCCTTTTCTCCTACCATGTGGAATTAGCAACAAAGTGTGCACTACAATAAATGGAGAGAACCCAGACAGGAACATTTGCCTACCTCAGGTGCCATCCAAAAGGGTGTCCCCACTGAGGTGTTTCTACGTAGCCGTGTGCTGGTGAGCTGGGCTGAAACACCTGTAATGAAACAGATGTAAAATCTTGGCTTCAAATTAATTCTTCCATTTCAAGTCAGTTTTTTCATGTATCTAGAAAACAAACTCCAAACCTAGAAGTACAGCTACAGAACACCTGGTCAAAGTAGGTGCAGCATTTGTTCAGAATTCTTTGTTTGATTAACTTAAGCTTGCTGTTTTCTCTCACAGTTGCTGCCAGATTTTTTTGTGAATGACACTGAGTTTGAAACATTATCATTCAAACTCAGTAATTCAATTGGCACCTATCACAGATTTCTTTCTGCTGCTTTCATTAATATAAACAGGAACTATTTGAATTACAACTTTAAATCCTCTGTTTCTGAAATTTACTTCCTGAATATCGATGGAAGGAAAATACTTCATTAGAGTATTTGCAGA